CACATATGAAAAAAAAAAGAGGAGAAGCCTTTGATCAATATGTTTTGAGAACAAATAAATTTTTGATTTTTTGATTGCCTTTTATCCATATTCATAGTTTAATTTTTCATCTTTTGAAATAGTATTCCTGTAATCAGCTGATAAATTTAATTAAATTAGCATCCAAAAGACAGACCAACTATGATAAAAGAAGAAAAATTATAATCTTTACATATAATACATAAAACATGTTAATTAATTATTAAACTAAATCAATTCAAATTTTAACAAATTCTATATCTATTAGATTAACTTCATTAAATTTTGTAATAATGAAACATGAAAAACAAGAAAATAAATATTCTTATTCATTCTAAAATTAGGAAACCGTGTAAATTGCTTTGGGTCTCGCCATCTCTTCTAAATTATTTTCATTAAAGGAGATTCTAAATATAATTCCAGAATCCTTAGCATAGGATTTACTAATTGCAAAATCTCTGCTAGTGGAAGTGAATGCAGGAAACATCATTAAATCATATAATTTATGTTTTAGTTTAAAGGAATCAATTGTACAATCTACTCTTCTATAAAGGAAGAAATTATTAGAGACAAATAAATTTTGGTCTATATTGTCTTAGTATTTTTCTAAACTATATTTTAATGATTATATGAAGACTGAGGCTTCTAAAATTGCTTTTTCATTTAAACTTTATAGAAGCTTATTAATAAATTTAAAAAATTCACTAGGCCCTGTATAGAGATTAATTATAGCCTCAATTTGTCCATTTTTAAATTTCTCGTGAATTTAAAGAGCTATTTCTGCTTAAGCCTCTTCAGATAATATATATACTGATTTTGGTACGTATTACATTGTGTTTTAAATTATTTTAAGAGCTTCATCTTTGGATAGTTAAGGAATACTACTTAACGAAAATTAGTCAGAAAGATAATAAAGAGCATCATTCTATTAAAAATAATTCGGAAACTAGTATAAATTAATTTCTCTTAATACTAAAGAAGGCGCTAAGTTCTTCTCCAATGTTGCAATCACTTCATCTTATTGATTTATGATATATACAATTTATTTAAACTTTTAGATAAGGTCCTCATATTTTTCTGGAAACTTACAATAAATAAGAATTGAATGAATATTAGGATAAGTCAATAGCATATGCAGAGTTTCCTTTGCCAGCGATCCTTATAATATCAGAAAAGTAATGTAATTTTCATTTAAAAAATTGATAAGACTTTGATGATCATTTGTAAAATGACAATATTAAATGTTTGGAAAACAATTTCTAATTCTTTAAGTTAATTATGATTTTCTATGTTATTGTCTAACCAAGCTATGGCTCTTTAGTTATTTAAATTAGGCCTTTTGATATTAGTTAAAAAGTTTTTGATAACTCCATCCATAGCAATGTTCATTTCACTGATACTTTTGGTAACATTTTAATCAATTAATCTTTTTTAATTTTCAAATAAACATTTTAATTCATTAAATTGCTTTTTTAGTTTTGTGTTAGCCTTTGCTGCAAATATAAATGGCAAAACAATTTCAGTTGTAAAAGAATTAAAATAGAAACGAAATTGAGCTTTAATTAAAGGCATTTAATAAACAACAACAAATTTAATATTGTTGTATTTTTTTTTAGTAGAAAATTAGATATTTGATTTCAGAAAACCTTAAATATATACATTATTATCAATTATTATTATGATTATTATTTCTGCCAAAAGTACATCTGATTTTTTTTTGGAATACCTTCCTTTTCTTAAAATGGAAAAATTAAAACAATTAATATTTATTGAGATATGTTGCATTTGTTTTAAACAATAATTTTATACCTAAATAAATTATCATTTTGAATTTTGAATCAATCAAAAAAAAATATGGGGATCAAATTTTCCCTAGTACAATCAAAAAAAAGTATTTGGGAATGGAAATCTTCCGGAATTCGCCTCCTTGGATTTTTTGCCTTTGCGTAGTGCTGGTCAAGTGGGTTATTTAGGGAGGGAACAGCAAAAACCAACCCTATATATTTGGGGATATAGTAAAAGGAAGAATCTAGTCAAGCAAAACAGTCGGGTTCCACTAATTTTATTATAAATAGAATATATATAGTATCCAAAACCATTTGCGATTTTATTATAGATAGAATATATATAGGTTTGGTTTGGG